TTCCATCTGCATTTGATTCTATTTCTCTACAGACAATACGAAAATATGCACTAAGGTCCAAACGATTTATGGATTGCCATAGGAAGAAATTTGAGGAACGACAGGCAGAATTTGCCATTAAAAAATATAAGAGCCCATAGTTGATCATTGACATTTGTAGTAATGATTTCCCCTTGAAAATTGAAAACAAGTTTTAGTAGAGTTAATTCGCTCACCGTAACCAGCTCACAACGGCGTCGCATTGAATTTAGCTGACTTACTGGTATACTTGGGATCGCGATCTTGCTGTAAGCACACTTCTTCCCAAGCATTTTATTAATTTCACCAAAGTGGTTTTCAAAATTATAATAGAAATCAGTCTACGAAGCTTAGTAGTGGCGTTGCTAGTAGTAGCAGTGACCTTATATAATAATAACAATCGGGAGATACGGAGAATTTGGGGTAGTAGGAAGGGTTATATGTGATTTCGGTCCCTCTTATAGCAGAACCACCCCAAGCAAAAGTTCTCCTTGTCTTTCCCGGCTGTCATTAAGGGGACGCTTGACCTCTACACGATTTCGCTTGTGGACTTGGCGTGGTTAAAGCCAGGCTTTTTTATAAACTAAAGACTCTAAATGTCTGCCGATTGTATGATAAGACACGTCAATGTTATCATGGTTGAGTTTATTGGCAAGAGAACGTAATGATATTGATGTATTATGACGTACAGCTTAGCCGATAGATTTCGCTATATTGGCCGTTATTTTTTTTTCCGGACGACCATTACCGCCTCTATGCTTCAAAGTACCCAGCTTTTTTAAGCCTGTTGAGACAGATAACTTTGTGTTTCTAGCTTAGGCATAAGAACGGACACCTTTGTTCCAACAACGTAATAAAGCGTGCATCTTTCGTAAGCGTTTGTTGACATTTTGGCGGTATTCAAGACGCGTAATAAAAGACTGTTGTTTACATTTTTCAGTTGGTAAATATGATGCGAATTGAGCTAGAATTGACAAAGTTTACAAATAGTGTCACACACTTACACTGTATTATCATTTGACAATAAAAGATATAGACAGTCATTCCCCTTTTTATGCAAAACATCCCCAGTCTTATTTTTAATATTATACTTAATGGAAATGCCAGTTATTTGGTGTGAGCTTTTTGGAGAATGCATTTCTTATTCAAAGAGAAGAATGTGTATTATGCGTGTTTGGAGACATTTTTAACAATAAAATTAAGATGACATAGGGTTTAAGAAGTGTTTTTATAACAAAAGGTTGGCGTAACTGTTTATGGCCAATTTCTTTTGTCATATCAACTTTTTATCAGCTCCTAATGTAATGTGTTGAGTCAACAATCGCGGGAGAGCAATCGATCGTCAACTCTAGGAATTTAGCTATCTTTTGAACGGAGCTGTGGCTTCTCCTACTTTAGTTAAATATAAAGACAGTTAGCACCATCTTTAAACGTTTTCATGACCCAGTAGAGTCATAGTGTGTGGCAGCGGCTGCAATCGCGCATAAAATGACTATGATATATCGCTGATTAAGTGAGTGCTATTAAACCGAATTATTCTCCGGTTTCTACATATTGCAAACGGAGAGGCACAGTCAGTATCTAATGGTATTGTTAGTGGACTCACCAAATAAGTAGTGAAGCTCAAATTCTATTTTCAGATATAATAACTACTTTTTCAAATTTCGCAATAACTTTCCTTTCCGATTTGCTTCAGTAACCTCACTGCTCCTCCAATACTTCTCGCTGTAACAATATCAGACTAATTAACAAATTACCAACCCTCGCTTTTGACGATTCCACTGTATCTACGCAGTCGCGTTGATAAAAACATAGGTAAGATTATAGCGTTTCTATTCGGTGGTTACGTATTTGATACGGTGTGTTAATAGGTCCTTACTCATCTCAAATAATGTAATATAGTTAATGGTGAAATAAATTGTCTAGTTTATTAAAACAAATCATTCAATAGGAACGGTCGAGAACAGAAAAACTCCTTAAAAAACGCGTCAAAACTATTGTTCTATTAATAATTCCGATTTTGTACTGGAAACGTCCATGCTAGGAGGCTAAATAAGCTGGATGAGTCAGCTTGCGTAACATCTAGCTGATTAAGCAGACGCTTGGGAAATAATAATTCATAACTCAATATTTATTTATTTATTTATTTAAAGATTTACGTAATATACAAGCGTAACTTTATACCGAGACGTCTTTGAGAATTAGCATTGACCCTTCCATCCGATTTTGGACACAAACACTCTCACAGATAATGCATAATAGAAAGATTAAATTTCAGCCGTCAGATCAAATCTCTATTAAATGTATTAATATTAACACAAGAGTAATAATTAATTAATGGATGCTTGTATAAATACGTTTATTTTTCTCAATTAGAAGAGTTTTATTTATGCAGGTCTGTGACAATTTTGCTTATTATTATTGTATTTTAAGAGTGAGTTAAACAATCATAAATACAATATTTTAATTCTTGGTTTGAATGAAGTAATGTGATTCACTTTCTGGCTTCCCAACAGTGAATTAATCACATACCATCAATACAACCTTGAAATACAAACGCTGTGGTTTGCGAAATGAATGATTTTTACGGCCTGAGGTCGATTTCCTAATATGTCGGTTGACTATCTATAGAGTATTCAACGAGAGAAATTTTCAATTTCATCCAAATAATGCCCTGGAAAGGAGCTTTGTTGTGTGGATGTCATCAGACAACGCATTCTCCGCGGTTGAAGTTTTCACTTTGCCGGCAATGCCCTTCGTTTTTTTGTGTTGTTTTAGGAGCAGACACAGGAGGAAGAGTAGCGGGAGAAGTAGTAGAAACCGAAGCAGTATCAGTATGAATAGGAGTAGGAGTAGAGGTATGGCACAGACATAGTTAAAACTGTCAAGCGCCTCTCAAACTTCTATAACTTTAGTTGCTGACCCGGACTAGGAACGAATGGATTGGATTAAAGGAGGTTTGGAACGCCGTCCTGCGACTCCAAACGCGCCTGCGGGAATTCGACGGAATGAGGACGGGTAATAGTTTTATAAAATGGAAGAGGTGTATTACCTGATGGTACTAGCTTCTCCAATGTCACAAGGAGACGAAACATATTAAGAGCTGAGATAAGAACCTGTAATAGTAAATAATATGTAAATACAAGTTCATTATTAAAGAAATAGTTACCATTATCATTACTATAACAGTAAAACTCTTTCTCAGATCTCACAATCAAGCTTAATAAAGTATCAAAGAATCATTATAAATACATGCGTAGCTTTTCTACAAAGATAAAAATTATCCAGTAAAACTTTATCATAACCGCTGCCACTATTTGCTATAGTGCTTCCTTAAATGCTCCCTTTACCTTTTTAATATGGCCGGATTTTCAGTTTCTCATGTTTTATTGTCAATCTATATAACTTTGTCTTTTAATTCCTGGTTTCCTATATTTACTAAACTGCTGTTTACTTCAATGTTATTTTTATTTACACTATTTACACGCCTTAATATTAATCATTATAATTTTTAGAGCATAATTCGTATCCTCGCCCAACTTCTTAAACTTTCCGCAATAGCTACGTATCAAACGTACAGTCAGTGACCCTTTAATCAGGCTTTCCTACTTATGACTTGCACGGCGTCGAGGGTGGTCCTCGATAAGTAACAACGATCTCCTTACTGTTACCTGCAATAAATGACTATTTGAATGGTTTACGCAATGAACTTCGGTAAGATAGTTCCGAAAAAAATAAGTACGTTGCGATCATTGTTAATAATTATTCTGTCTTATTCCCAATTCCCTAACCTTTCCCTTTACCCAACTATTTACTTTAGATAATTCTTGCATAACCTCTTGGTGCTTGAGCAATCCATCCAAAATGTGCACAAAATTAATAATTTGTTTTGATATCGTAATATTACAAAACCAATAAGATACCGCATAAAACGAAATAAGTTCAAAAACGCGCATATATTCTCCTATGAATGACAATGCAAATGGAAAGACAGCACTTGTGACTTCAACTTTCTTGCAGATCCGTGGTTTGTAAAGTGATACTTCTATTAGAGTGATTTGGTCTTCTACAAGTGCAAGGGCAACAAAAGTTATCAGTTCACATACCAACAATTTGTATACTGTAATGTTTTCAATTTCTTTGCGGTCTCAATACTCGCGCCAAGGTACTTGTAATAAGAATGTATTGGATATTTTTTTTTGAATCTTCTAGAGTGTGTTTTCGGTCTTGTTGGAGTGGTCCTCCCGACGCTTCCATTATTACATCAATATTATATGTAAGATCTGTAACTAGTGCATCAGCTTTTTTAGATCTTATTGGAATAGTAAATTGGCAGCTATTGTCCAACTGGTTTCACCCTACGCCTATCAGTCTTTTCGCCATGCGACCAGATGTTATTTGATAATTCGATGATGTGGGACAATGGAAAGTTGCATTTGTGTATGGTAAAACGTATTTTATTATGGTTGGTCGATTTTTCATGTAATACAATCTTCCCGACGAGATTTCGTTATTATTATTATAGGCGTCTTCATTGTATCGATATACGTTTTGAACCCTGATTATATTTACTTCATTCACGTGATGGCGAATTCAAAAACACCTCGCATTTTTCTCACGACTTTAGCAATAGTGTGAACACTTGTGACAAGCTCTTACGCGCTAATATCATCGCAAGCCTTAAAAATTCTGTCACCACAACTATCCTAATTACTTGCGCTCATAACGATAATATTTAACTTCTTTGCTTGATCTACAGTCTTCTTGCATTGAAGAATTAGGAACACTTAATGGCAGATAACCCTATTGCTTTAACGGCTGCCGCCTCTCTTGCAACCGCTTCGAGGCTTATGGAAGGCACGCAAAGACTGCTTTTCCACCAGCTTCAGACCCGCAAAGAAGGAACGAATTCTTCTGCCGATTACGTTATCGTGGTTAAGACGAAACAAAATGCTGAAGAGGACAAAGACCAGTTAAGCCAGCGTCTTCGAGACACTTGCCTGCGAATAATGACCCAACTAAATGGGGCTGGGCTGAAATTTGAAGTGCGACGGGGTTCAAAAGAGTTTATATTCTTTTTCGTTCTTTGTTCAACTGAGCGGCTGAAGCTAGAAGTACGTAGAGCCAGGTGAGATTTATCTTCGAGAATATTTTCGTTCTGTGAGCGTATTCGTTCATTCTGTCCGATCCAAATTCTACTTTAACATCAAAGATTGGCTGATTGGCTGACTGGTGTCCGTATCCGCGACGTTGACGACGATTCTGCCGATGGAAGTGATTCTCAACTAACGGAAGCTGAGCGTCTCCGATTGGTGTATGATATAATTACGAATCCTCGCTCAGAGGGGGGAGCGGATATAAAACCAGGTTCCGATAAGCTCGAACTGGTAGGATCACTACTTCCTCTTCATGACAGAGTGTACAACGATGTAAGTCAGTTGGTCAGACAACTAAGTGAGCTTTAATAAAATACAGATAATTGTCTGAAAGAATTGTTCATTTCCGTATGTAGGACTGGATTAAAAGTTGGTCAACAAAATGGATTATTAATAAAAATGATTTGATGAGCTTGCGAAACCATTTTGGAGAAAAAGTAGGTATAATTAAGTTGTATGAAGAAACTACATGTTGGCTTTTTGTGATCGCAATAACCTATTTCATTCTTACTATCGTAAAGATAGCCTATTATTTTGCGTTTCTACAGTATTATGCTCTTTGGTTAATTGCTCCGTCAATCGCCGGTTTTTTCACTTACTGGTTCCTGGGAAACTATTCAATATTATTCTCTATTTTTATGGTCACGTGGTCTCTTATCTTCACAGAGTTCTGGAAACGCAAAGAAAGAGAGCTATCTATTTTATGGGGCACTCGCAATTTCTCTCGGTTCGAGAAACGACGGCCCGCTTTTCGTGAAGAGAAATACGTAAAGAATCCTATAACTGGCGAATTGCAACCGTACTTTCCACCGTGGAAGCGATGGCTTAGGCGCGCGATTGCAGCCCCTGTAATCATTGTATTTAGCTTTACTTTGGCTACAGCTCTTATCTTCTATATTCTTCTTGAAGTTATCGTGTCCGAATACTATACTGGGCCCTTCCGAGAACAAGTTGTATGTATGATTTTTTGGGGTTGCTTGACAATATCTATTTGCGTAGCTATTTAACCTAGGCTTTTACTTTCGCTCCAGATTTATCTACCAACTGTTATATATTGCATTTTGGTCCCAGCAATTAATATAGTATACAATCGGATTGCCCGCCAGCTTAACGAATATGAGAATCACGAGACCGAATCCTATCATGAGTATAATTTATCACAAAAGATATTTATCGCCAATTTCCTAATTGGTTATCTTTCTCTGTTTTTTATTGGATGGGTCTATATTCCGTATAACAAGGAAATTGGAGAATTCTTCCATGATCTGGCTGAGATACTGGGCTTGTCAATAACTGTAAAGCCAGTAGGATCAGAGAGGTTGAAGAACGAATTGAAATATTTCATCATCACTGCACAAGTTATTAACTTTGTTACAGAAGTTGTACTGCCATATGCTTTAAGATATGGTGAGCACTGCGTTCAAAAGGCAAAAAGCCTTAGCAACACTTCATCAGATAACAATGGAGTGAATGAGGATGAAGCCGGGTTTCTCAAAAGAGTTAAGAGAGAAGTAGATCTACCGGTTTATGACATTTATGAAGACTATGCTGAAATGATTCTTCAGGTTCGTTCTGTGAATAAAACTTTCTGAATATAGTACCGATATTTGTTTAAGCTAACTCGATATATTTGCCAACAGTACGGCTATGTTAGTCTATTTGCTGTAGTATGGCCGTTGACGCCGATCTGTGCCTTTGTTAATAATTGGATCGAACTTCGATCGGATGCAATTAAACTTTGCGCGCACACTAGGCGGCCTATTCCAGCAAGAGCGGATAGCATTGGCCCTTGGTTAGATAGCTTGGTAAGTCTTTAAAGTCCTTTATAATGTCTTAGTATCCTCGTTATAAAGGAAGGTTTCAAACGTCAATTTCCCCCCTCCCCACTGCTAATCAGACAATAATTACATGGTTGGCAACTATCACCAACCCATCGTTCGTATATTTATATCATCCGAGTTCAAATGCCTTTGCTTCCCCATCAGCTATGCTAGTGACTGTCACATTGATCTGGTTCGCAGAACACATTCTCAATGTATTGCGATATGCTTTACAACAAATGTTAAATGCTTTTCCCAGCTGGGCTGATGAGTTGGTTCAGAAAGAAGAATATGAATTAAAGAAGCGCTGGACGGAAAGGGTTGGAATCGCTCCAGTTTTATCACTAGAAAACGAAAATCATAGTGAGGCGTCAAATAAGGAGAAAAGTGAGTTGCTTCGGTACGAAACGACTCATGCAGACCACCAAGAGATCTTGAAAGAGATACTCGAGCATCTAAAAATGGAATGAAAGCACGGAGGTTTTTATCTTACGACTTTCACAACGACCGCATTGCCACCGGATATTATATGGACAAATAAATTTCAATAAACTTATGCTTTGTGTTTGATTAAATGATATTCGCAATTCTCATATAGCTCTCAATTAAGTTTATTGATTCCTGTGTTGTGCCGCCTTATTTTGCCAATGAATGTCAGGCATAGACACAAAGAGATAGTTGCAATCTATTTTTTTTCACCCTAAACATAAACACATTTTAAAATTCAGCGGGAATAAATAGCTTAATTCTCTGGGACACATCGAAATACCTTTGCCATTTTGTAGCTACCATGAAGTGCGCCGATCAAGCCAACACAAATCATACCAAAGTGGAGGTAGACAAAGCCACGTGAAGTAGGACTTCCTTGCAAGAAGAGAGGACCACGTTGGGACTATTTCAAACGGAAAGTAGCCCATTAGTACGAAAGTGCAATAAGCAAACATTTACGAGTGACATTTACTTGAAAGAATTTCTGAGCTTCAATTATACGTTGTGGGTTCATGATTTCGTTGTATGCTTAAAGGCGAAGATATTTATTTGCGAATGTCAGGTTATCGACTCAGTTATAGATTGTCACCCCTAGTGTACTAAATTTAGACCAATCACCGTATTTTTGAAGGATTGCCCGGATGGGAGATCAACTATTACTATATACTGTCAACTCTCTTTATAGCGACCGCTTTTATACCGACCGATGCCTTATAACGACCACCTGTGCTTTGCCACTATTAAAATTAGCTGTTTATAACGACCAATCATAGATATAGCGATCCAAAATAAAATTTACCATATTAATATATAAATTATATTGTAAACTCTTTTTATAGCGATCGGTAGTACAGTCGATATATTAATTTCTATATATAGGAACTTAATTTCTCCGCTTCTGGCCAGACACTAGAAATCGAGTGGCACTTATCGTTCATTCTATTTTCTATTTTCTATTTACATTCTCTATCATATGTTCTCTCTATCGTCGTTCTCCATTGTACATTCGCTATCGTATACAGATCAATCGATTCGATTAAGTGTTGTTATTATTATTGTTATGTAAATCTACGAGCTTGTAACCTGCATAACTGTCAATGAATTAAACATACGCGTAATTTATATTTTTATCGTAAGGTTATACAGAGCATAGCTATGACAAAATAAATTATTAAACATTATAATAATCATTTAACGTAAAACTTAAATTTATTATTCGGTTAAATATCAAGTCTTAATGACGAAGTCGCACATTCTAATTTTAAATAGAACTGCTTAATTTCGCTCTGAGATATTCATCCTAATGTTTCTAAACGCAGTCTACATCTATTGTAACACCTCCGGATATACGATATTCCACATATATCCTGCTTCGGCATCCCGGCCTCTTATTAGAATCTTGAGGTTTTGTCCAGCTGTAGTCCTAGAGCAAGCAACATAAAGTTGGCCATGAGAAAATACTGGAGTCGGCAAATAAACTCCCACGTAATTCAAAGTTTGATCTTGTGCCTTATTAATGGTCATAGCAAAAGCAGGTTGTATGGGCGTTTAAGTACAAAGGGCAAATTCGCATTGGACGGTGTAAGAGAAATTAGGCAGTGATCCAGAAATTTTCATCACTTGAACTTCTATAACATGTGGCGCAAATGCGCAACAAATCAAACGTGTTCTGTTGCAAAGACCGTCTGAAGGGTTGATATTCTGAAGAAGTATAACAGGTGTACCTATTTTCAATAATAGCTTGTGCGGAGGCAAACCGCTCATACTTTTTTGTCGAAATTCTCGTGATTGTGCATCATTCTTTGTGAAATAAGCCTTTAACAATGCTGGTGGCTCTTGAAGGTGCAGAAGTGTAACCTTCCCTCGTGCACAACATGTACTAAACATTATCCGCCCATTTTAATGTGCCACAAAAGGACATAAACAGTTCCATTCTTCTGAGATTATGCGTTGTAGTCCATTACATTAGAGTTGAAAGGATACAGTCTTGCTTTTGGAATTGAAACAGTATTTATATGAACATTGACATTTATCAAAGGTCAGTATTTTCAAAAGAATGGGATACTGTTCACATTTAAACTATTTAGCTCATGATTGTTATAATATGGTAATATAATTAATGCGGAAAATAGCGCATAAATATATAAATTAGGTGAATATAACAAATTTAATCTGAAAATAATTATGTAACTGCGAAATTACAATGGCCTCAGGGGAGCGATGTCATGTGTTTTAAATCCACGAATCAGAGATCAGCATAGAAGTATTTCGGAGAAATGAACTTCGTGCCTGCAGGCACGGTCTATATATACGTTTAGATTATAGGCAAAATAATATCTGAAGTTAACTTATATTTCCATTAATGCTTATTGCTCTACGCTTTCACCGTTACTATTTGGATTGAATTTTGATTAGCCTCCCAGCATTTGAGACGATAGGTTTTTGTATTAACATAATCCCCGCTACCCCATTCACCTTTTACATTATCTCTTATATTTTCTTTTTTTATCTCTGAACAAGTAAAGTAATCACCATATTCATTACTATATTTTAAAGATAAATGAGAAAAACGCTCCAATACCATTTTGATAACGTGTTGTTGTCTTTCTTCCGGGTCTTTAGGTGGAACAGATTGGGAATTGTCGTTTAGATGGTGTATATTGAATATTTACCCGCGGTACAACTGAAGTCTTTTCCTCAAAAGATATCTGTGAATTGAGCATGGATTTTTTCCCATTCTTCCATAAGATTATCGAGCCATGCAGTACTCAAACCACTTTCTAGTATACCTTGACGTAATAACTCTTCACCAACCAGTCTCTCCCGATCTGTTCAAAATTTACGATATTTTCTAGGGTCTTCTTTTCTTTCTATTCCACCACGATAGAAATGTATATCTCTTTCCAAATCCCCACGAAAACATCCCATGTTCCACCTATTTTTCTCAGCCTCTGTAATGATCGAAAATTTTTTGGGATTCATTCCGTGCTCGATGGCATACTGATAAAGGCGATTTTTGTTTGGATCAGTCTTGGAAATTGAGGAGGTGCAAATTTTGTTTGGTGCCATTACCTGAGTTTCCAACGAACTGTCTTGCATGATATGATTATCAGCATTTTCGCTTTGTGGGGATTCAGAAGTTTCAGACTTTATCCAAGGATCGAGTCCAGTCTCTTCCATATATGCTTTATATAATCTAGAACAAATTTTATCTGTCTGAGAACTTGGTAAATCAACTAAGTTAGCATGCCATTTGCAATAGTAATCAGTTAATATCTTGCTGGAGGTAGTATCAGAGACATGTTATCGTTTTATATTAATGCAAGTCAATTCAAAATCACACAGCTGTCAAGAAAAAATATATCGCTATCCACTTGACCAGGTTTATGTAATTATTTACTTACGCAGTTATTTCAATTTCTTGTTGTCCACATTTAATAAAATAAGATCCGGCTTCATATCTACCTCTTATACTTTTCTCATCCTTATGACTTAATTTACATGCTGGACATAACGACTTATCAATAATTCCATAATAATCAAATTTTTTACTGTTAAATTCTCTATATATATCGGGGTATCGACCTAATATTTTATTACGAAAATAATCACAATCATAGGTCAGATTAGATGGAGATGAAGATAATGCACTTACAGCACTTATCTTAGTCTCTGGTAAAAATTCAACTTCCTTATCTTCAGAGGCAGTCACATAATGGCTAGAGATATTGGATGATAGGATAGGAGGAGTGGGTGTAACACTTACATCAGTTTCTGGTAAAGTTTGCTCAGTCACGTGCGCGTTCCAATTTGGAACGGAGATTACTTTTCGATTTTCATTCATAGTAGTTGACTTAGAAAAATCGATTATGATATTTTGAATTTGAACATCCTTTAAACTTGAAATAGCACTTGCCTGACTAATTTTATCTATTCCTATACCTTCAAACAATATATAAACTCTTTTAGCTCTGAAAGTTATTTTACGCAAGTTTACATCAGTAACATCAGGTAGAAGTGATTTGATTTCATTATATACCAATGTTCTTGCAGATTTGTCGTCAATTTTATCCATAGTCTTAATATTTCTAACCCTATTCTCGTACGCTTTATAATAATAGTACCAGCATAAAATCTCCTTTTGTCTAGTCTTCATGGCAATGTTAAATAAATCAGCTATATTTTCTGCTGTAACTTCACTAGATCCTGTTAGAGTCACTTCTATAGAGAATTCAGGAATCTGTATATCAATTACATTACTAATCTTGTGGTTATTATCTTTGGTGCAAATAGATAGCTCGAGTCTTAAACCTCGTTCTACCTTTTGATTATAAGGAATTTTTGCGGAGCAAAGCGTTTCGTGCCTCTGATTAGGCGATACATTAGTAGGCGATTTGGACTCAGAATCACATGATGAATTATTATCCGAAGATAACTCAGAACTATTAGAGATAGATTGCGATATTATAGATGATTCCAGATTTTGATTTTCGTAGGATGGTTCCGATAAAGTACTATCCAAAGATGAATTTTGATCTCGAAGTTTCTTTTCCCTAATTCTCTCCATTATCTCTTTACTAACATGTTCTTTATGTTTCATTTCTACAAAATCAAGGGTCTCGTCCGTATCGTCATCGGTAATATTTTGTGACAAAGAGGTTGTAGATGATTCAGTTTTTTGGACCTGGGTTGAGCTATGTTCTATTCCGGTTATAGGGTCGGGAGTAATAGCTTCCTCCTTATCGGGTTGACTCTCATTAAGTGGCGAAATTTCTTTTGTGGGAATATCATCAGAATTTGAAGTGTCAACGGATATATCTGATGCCGAAACATCCCCAGTTTGTACGTCTATTTGTTCGGGGGTAACGCTAGAATTTTCCATAAAGGTAGAAACACTTACTATCTTTTTCTCGGAAATTGACAATTGCTCCGGAGAATCAGTGATCATTCCCTTTGATTTTATTTCCTCGAAATCACAGCTTAATTTTGCTACTTTGATTTTAAGCTCAGAATTTTCAGCTGAGAGATAGGTGATATCTTTTTTATTTTTTTCTAGTTCCATCTTAAGGTTAATGTTCTCGGCTTCGCGTTTAGCATTTTCTTCAATAATTTGTTTTAGCTTCGCATTCTCAGCCTCAAGATCAAACCCATTGTTTCAATAAATCAAACTCAGATTGCATTTTAGTAACTTTTTATATAAAGCAGTTTTAATTAGAATTTCCATTCCAATTTGGAACGCAGATCACTTTAACTTTCACTAAGAAAATTATTCCGATTACACATATACAATATACGAAAAAATTACTAATGCGTGACGCCGATCACTTTTGCCGTACCTATTGCTCAATCATACCTACCTCTTCCTCAGTTAGAACTTTCACTCTTTTAACGCCTCTTCTTAATAGATTCTCTACAAATTGCATATAACAAGTGTTGCATAGAATAACTCCTCCCTCCCACATGTGCTTCACTAAACCTTTGTTCAGAGCATCCCCATTTCTCTCCACTCAACGAACGGAATTTAGCTGGGTCTTTAGAATCGCATTCTGTGCGACGTTTATCCTTAGGCATTTTCGTTAAGTAATAGCTACGGCGAGGGTGAGAGATCCAACGGAATAATAGAAGTTTTCAGTGATTATTGAATTGTGTACCTGTGTCCTTATATGGTGATGGTTTCCGTATGAGGAATATACATCTTCGAAACAGTGTTTATCTCGATGCGTTTGACATTGTGATTGACATATTTTGTTTTTCCTTTTGCAATAAAGCTTTCGTAACGCAAAGAATGCTACTACTACATGCTTTGTAATACTAAAATATACGAATTTAACACTAAATAATAAAGCTTTGCTACTACTACATGCTTTTTAATACTAGAGTTAGAATTGAGCATACCAAGACTATAAGCTCTTATACCGATAATTGATCTGAATAAGGTATGGAGACAATCTCACGGGACATCTCAAATCTACGAATTTAAAGAACCTTAACACTAAATGAATTGATAATTGAATTATTTATTCTTACTTGCCTTGTTTCTTGCTTTTTTTCCTTTTGAAATCACAAGATTAGCCTTAGCTTCCGAAAGCTTCTTCATAAGCTCCTCCTCCATGTGGTTTTTAAATTCTTCATTTAGTTGACGTTCATATTCAT